TACTTTCTGCAGCTTAGAAGCCCATTTTCTAGAAAAATAACAGGAAAAGAAAACGGGATTTGACACAATAAGAAAAATTATGGATCCTACATGTACATGCATAACCATAATTTAAGCCCATTCTGGAAGATACATGCAGGTGAACATTGATACTTTACCTACCAATCAGTTGATACAGATTACTGCAGGCATACCTGATTACAAACATTGTCATTGATACTTTCAAGTCTGTCAGTCAGTTGTCAAAAATCACCCCCACAGGCATCTCAAAAAAAAGTCTGCAGACACATTCTTGACTCTCCTTGTTAAGGAATGTGCACAACCTGTCCCTGTAAATGGCCATTGTAAATGTCATCAGGTGTCTTGCTCAAGTACAATGTACATGTACCAGTAGGTACAGTACATGTGCATATGTGGGTACTACCAGCCGATCCGCATGATCACCGATTGCTCTGCGCGACTTTTCAATCCTGTATAAAATCTCCAACTTTATTTTCCTTTTGTAATATTCACAACTGTGAATCAACAAGAAAAGGCGATTGCCTGATGACAGAATTATCAAAAAATCAATGCGCAATCATGTACATACATGTACCGGTGCATACATACACATGTACACGTATGTAGATCGATCGCACCCAACATACTAATACCGTACGCACGTATGCACACGGAGTGCATATGGCTTGCTGAAACCAAGCAAGAAATCTTGTGATCAAGGTTTAGGAGTTGTGGCCGTATGCAAATTATCCTCCCCACCACCAGTTAACCCTCAGGTTCAAGGTGATTTGCCCATGCCTTGATAAACAGCTGCAAGGGTAAGACAAGGCCATATGGAAAACATCTGTTCTCAAATTTTTTTTAGGAGAGTCTGCGGTTAAATCTCTCCCACAGGTTTGTTTTTTAGCCATGGTATGGATGTACATGTACCAGTAGGCAGACTGTGCCTCTTTTACAATATCCAATGATGCATATATGTGATACATTGTAGGCAGTGAATTAATTTTCACTTATCAAGACCACATTTTTGGACTAGGGCAGGGATGGTAACATACAATTTGCATTACAAAATTAATGGGTGACCAGTGTCTATACACACCCGAATTAAGAGCCATTGCTGGAGTATATGTAATGCACATGTGGTTTCGTGTACCGTGAAAAGCTCACACTTCCTTAACCAGTAGTGTGTAAAGACTTGCCAAAATGCAGGTTCGTCTTTAAAGTACAAAATTTAGTGTGAGTGTGATGCTGTGGGTGGTGCTGCAGTAATGGTGGCAATGGTGTTTCCTCAAATGTACCTGGACATATATAAGTCTCAAAATTGAAAATATGATGCGTCAAAACTAAATGCATTCATAAGTCATATGTTGCAACTCACATACATGTACATGTATAATGAACATATCACTCGCCATGGATCCCTGTAAGAAACTAATAGATACTATTGACCCAATTTATAATTAATGCAACTCTTGACTTTTGAACTTGGCACAATAAAAGCATTTTTTTTTGAGAGAGAGAGGAATCCCTGACACGGTAATTGTAACTGTTGATCTGAAATTTTTTGTCTGATTTCCAACCAGAGCAATCAGTAAAAGAAAGAAAAAAAGAAAAGACACCTACTACTTCAAGTTAACAGTGATCAAAATACTCCCTCAAGTGCTTCAAATTTTCCTAAAATAGGGTATCTGTCAGTTTTTGCTTCAAGCAAATCACTTTGAAATCCACTTACAAACTTTTGCGCAAATTGTTTAAGCTTCTCACAATCGGTGACAGCTGCTTAAGTGTAAGGCAATGTGGTTCTGTAATGGAATGATTTCCAGGGAGGATTGTTGGATTCCCTCAACTGACTATCACCTTCCAGCGTTAGTCTCTCTTGACCCCTCTTAACGCAGACAGACAGCAGCCCACCACTTCACAAAGCTGACGATTGTTGGATGTTCCACTCTCGCCACCCGGGTTTCGGATGACATATTGCAATAAATGGAAAGTACATGTGCATACTCATTTGGGAAGAAAAATAACTTGGAGGTGCGAAGCTTTTATTTTGTTGACGCCTCTCAAAAACACCTGTATTGTACTAGTAATCAGTGACACAGGATGCTAGACTGAAGCACACCTACCGGTAGGGTGAGACTCAAAACACTCTTGAAAAAAACAAAAAACCTGGCACTGGTGGCGGAAGGCGGTGGGGCAGGGGGACCACAAGCCCCCCCTCCCACTTATTCTTTTTGCAGGGCCCATAATGAGGCGGGGCTTCATACCGGTAGATATGGCCTATTAATGGCTGATGCCTGATGGTCTAACTACTTGCCCCCCAACTTTGAAAACCATTCCGCTGCCGCAGAACCTGCTTTTCAGACTTTTTTGACTTACTTTTCTTGACAACTGCCTAAATTTGCATTATAATAAACAATCAATCATGCAACACACAAACTGTCAAGCAAGTCCATGTATGAAGAAGCAACAGTGTTTTAAGAAGTGAAGGCATACACATGCATGGCTGATACCTGATATTCAGTTATTCACATTAGAACAAAAGTTTGTGAATTGTGACACATGAAACAATTCAGAATCTCTGAGAGACATGAGTTACAGGTCCTTAAAAAAAATCTTGCAGAAGCAGTGAATAGAAATCAATAGGACCTGTCAACTCTGTCACTCACATCATGACACTCGTATCCTTCAGTAAGTGTGAGTGATAAACAAATAACCGAGCAATGTACAGAAGAACAATTTCTTGAGGTGACAGATTAAATGCATTCCTCTTCTAAAGTCGTCTTTACTACCAGCACCTCAATACACATAGGGCTGAGTCAAATTTGAATATTTGACCTGAAATCAAATACCGTAGTTGAAGTCTCAGTAGTATGGCAAATTTAGGGGCAGCAAAGCCTCTAAAGAAGCAATGTTATTGATACACACATAACACAATAAAATTGTTACAATAATTAGGTATCTACATGTACAGGTGCATGCAGGATTAATTGGTAACTGGAGGCAGAACTATACCTTTTTCTTTTTTATTGAGCTTTAAGAAGACAATTTACCGTACGTGTACTAGCAGCTATAAAGAAACCGATGTTTTTTCTTTTTCATTTTACTGTATTGCACCTAATGTACTTAACTGTTCAATCCATGTTAATTGTATTTAGCACAGGCCACCTCAACACTCTTTGTGTACAAGTTCCTGTATTCCTCAGTCTGGTGGAAAATTGTGACAAGAGGTTTGCTCCTTCCAAATCAATAAATACTTTGAAAACAACAGAATTTCCTCGATGTCTTGTATTTACTACTTTGTATTTGAAGCATCAGCATCACTTAGAAGTTCAGAAATTTCTTCATCTGTTAAAAGAACATACCCGGTACATGTACTATACACGTACATAACATAGATTGCATTGCTTAACATACATGTATGTAGTGTACTGTGCTGTTGCACATCCACTGTGTCCTCTATGGATTCGCTATCAAAGTGAATTTTTTTTTATAAAGTCATCATCACACGTGTACACGTAACATTTCACAAACAATTCTCACTGAATGACTAATCACTCAAGCTCCTGTGACATCTGCTGAAAGTTAGCTTTGTGTTTGTTTTTTTGTTCTTACATTTTTCTTTGATTCAAACAGACATTTCAAGTTAATCATCGTTATTTTGTGCCAGCTATTAGTGTACATGTATGGGCAGCATCAAACCAAAAACAAATATACTGCACCTATTACAGTACACTTGAGCAATGTCTTCAACAACTTTACTGTCTGATTAGATGACCTGAACAAAACATAAAATGTAAATGGATCCTATTTACAAAATGGTCCTTTGTTGATACTGTGTAAACCATTTTACTGTCGTATTCCATGTATATTTTGGTTTGTCTGCCGTGAAAACATCATTACTGGACGTAAAAACAAACACATAAAACATTAGATTTTTTTTTACCTGTAAAAATTTAAGATATTCAAAAGCAAAATCATGTTTAAAAAAACCTTGTGTTTAGTGATCACAACTGGCTTCGAAAACCTATAATAGTACGGTAGCCCTCAGGCTAGCCCCACTGGGAGATAAATATACATGAAGAAATTCTCCCTAGAGTGGTGGGTTTTCCACCCAACAAATTACAACTTGACAAATGATTTTCGGACAGTCTTTCTGATGTTTCCCCGAGTGAAAATGTCAACCCGATACATCTTTTTATTTCAGGTCGCATCTTCTAACAAAGATCTATTAAACAAGGAACAGGCCAAGTTAAAAAAAGGCATCCAGTTTTATATCAACTGAGAAACAAGACTTTATTTTGAAGATGGTCACCTTTCTTTGTAAAACTTACAACTTGTGCTTCCACTGCCCAATTCCAAGGACACAAAATTGGAAAGAGACAATATGGACAAGAGATGTTGAATGTACATGTATAGTGTCTTTTTGATAAGTTTACAGCATATTTAATGTAAGAAATTAAAGAATTTAAAAGCACTTCAAAAGGCATGGGTGTATTTTGCAACCATGAAATACTTTAATCCCTTGGTACAAAAAGTGTTCTTATTCCAGGAATGGAACATTCAACTGCATGATGTGGAATTTAAAATGTTAAAAAATTACAAGTTCCATCTTTTATCAGTATTTTCTGAAAACAGTTCCAATCTGGTAACACTTACATGACTTACCCTTTTCAATTTCAAGGCCAGTAAATAGATAAATCATCTATTTAATGGGTGGGCCTACTTGTTCATGTAAAAATCACCCTTAAAAATATTTTGGAAGCACCGCACTACCGGTATTCCTGCAACATCGGAATATTCACTTCAGCTCCTAAGCCCATCTGTTGCAAACTCATTTTGTCTGTCATTGACAGTGTCATGTTTGTACAAGCAAGAGACAAAAAGATATGCAGCCCTCAGGTACCGGTAGGAAGGTTAAATCAAGGGAACTCAGGCGTGTAAGACGACGCGAGTTAACTGGTTAAGCAAGCACACAGTCAACAAGAGATTTAATGCCGTACCTGCCACAACACCGGAAGTTGCAAGCATCAACTGCACCACCGCGGCTACCAACACCACACCGGCCATCGCGTCGCCGCCCCGGTAGCACCGCCTCTCTCCTCCGAGAAGACAGAACGGTCTCATCTCTGGGAAGGTGGCCGTTGAGGCCTCGTCTGAGACAAACTGCACATGAGTGACCACGGATTCACAGCGGGAAGCTCTCTGTAATCGACTCGACTGTTTAGAGAAAACTGACACTTCCCACCACGATCTCACGTTCGCAAATTCGCGTCGCCTTGTTACCTCAGATCTCCATGCGTACAACACTTGAAAACGCGATACATGTACGTGCGGGGTAAGCGTGCTCACATGGCATTGTCAAGCCAATGAGTTTACTACAAAATTGTATTCACACGTAGTTGATGTCGCCTTTGGTGAGTAATACGCTAGTATACATGTACATGTATGCATGCGCAGGGGGGTTGTGGTTTTCTGACAGCAACTACACGGGCTGATCTACACACTGGGAGCCGGTGAAAGAAAAAAGGTATGATAGCGCCCTCTTGCGCTACAATATAATGCAACCATGGATTCAGCAGATCTAGGAAGCAAGTTGGTGCTCGGATTTTAGAGAACGGAAAAAACAAAACGCCATTTTCTATAGTGTCAAGAAAAAAAAAAGTGTCGCCAAGTCGGAGGGAAGAATACAATTTTTTCCAAAAAAAGAAAAAAGAGCCATGGTTAAGCCCATCCCTCTAGGTCTTTGCGGTCGGTCGGACAGTGCAGCCCCCCCCAAAAAATTACATTTGTATCGGTAAACTGTTCGCGGATCCAGACTTCTCGAATTATTATTTTTTTTTCAGTTTTGAATCCGGAAGGTCAGCGGATCCGAGCACCAACTAAAAAACTCTCGCTTAAATGGGAAGGCAAAGGGATAATGACCTTGAAATGAGTAATAGGGCGAGGAATACCTTTCTAAAAGTGAATTAATAACTGGCCAAAGTCTGCCATTTCGAGTTTATTCTGGGTGGGTTTTTTTTGGGTTTTTTTTGGAGGAATTAAATTGCAAGCATTTCAGAAACGTTTGGTGTTCAGGATAGTTAAAGTTAAGAAAAATTTGGAGAGACGTTTTTAGAAGAAATTCTCCAAGACCTGCACATACTGCTCAACATCTTGCACTTACACTAGTACTTACTCCACTTGACAACTTCACCAAGGCACTGGATAAGTCCCCGAGCGTTCGACACAAGTGATCCATGTAGTTTTAAGATAGGTCTCAAGCTATTCAAATGAACTGTAATAGAAAAGGTTGCCGCTGTTGAAACTGTTACTTGTGACATCTTGTGACTTGACTTGTCAAAGATCTAGACAAACATCATAATATCTTGTCTTTTGTATGAGAGTTTTTAATTCTGAAAGAGTTTTCCTCCACGTTCCCAAAATTCAAACTGGGCACTATTTACAATCAATCCACAATGTGCACGGTATTATCACTGAAAACAAAACGCACAGCAGTTGACTACATGTAAATAAACCCTTTTTTTTAAGGATTAGACTATAGGCAACTTTGACAACACCCACATGCTCAACTTTTTCGAAAACAAATTCTGACCTGTAATACTTTGTACCTCTGCAGGAAATAAACGTGTGCTGTTTGTGAACATTAGAATCTGAGTATATGCCACCTTGAACACAACATTGCATATTTTAAAACCTGTTTTTGGGTCATATGCTACAAGTCTATCATTGTACCCATGAACAAGGACATGAGAAAAAAAAAGAATTAAACCTCCAAAAGCTGGCTGGGAAATCCACTTCACATACCATTCACAATGCAGAGAATTCTCTTGGTGTACATGGACATGTTGATGTGAATTCCATTGGTTGATACACTTTGATATGTGTTATACACTCAATGTAAAGCTGTGCTCACATAGCTACAAAAAAAAAATAAAAATAATACTAAAGAATATTAGTCCCAATTGCTGTCAAGTGCATGTACTGAGTTGAGTTTCTCTCATAGGGAACTAAGAGTTTTGTGCACAAAATATTCTTGACTCTCTCCAGCAGGCCCCATTGTTTCATCTGCCGTTCCTGCACCAATGTGGGAGACAATTTAAGTTTAGTATTCCATGATTTCCCTTTCATCGAGTTCTCAAAAATTTAATTCCATTCGGAATTCCATTTACTGTTAAAAAAAAAGTGTAAAATGGTGTAAAATTCATAGGATCTTGTAAAATCCAGACAACTTCTAAAGATAATTGTCAAATTCAACCCCTCAAACTGAGTTAACAGGCCTTCTACAGACACAGCTTCAACTGAAATCAAAACAGATGCAGACATACAGTACGGGCGATTCACAATAGTGCCTCTTCAAGAGTTCGCAATGCGTTGACCGACCACAGTGCGCAAAATCTGTTGACCCATGCCACACACGCACCGGGTCAACAGATTTGTAAATCGACCATATTAGCTACATAATTAGTTGCACAAATGAGTGCTAGCAAAGCGGGTTCCCATGGTACAATGGTTTTTGGTAATGATAGACATTAACCACTGCAGTATGCAGGCACCTAAAGGACACCTCAACAAGTGCCGAATACAGACTTTAACTAATTTTTAAATGCTACCAACAAATTCAGCACCACAGTTAGCACACAAGATACTAAATCCCAGTGATGAAGTGACTATTTTGATGGTGATTGAGCCAAAGAAAAATAATTCCACATTCAAAGTCGTACGAGAAGTGGCATCTCTATAAAGAGCGAGCTTTGTGCGCAAGCACGCTGTGACTGATGACAGAGGCAAGGCTGGTACCATGCAACTGCCATTCATGCAAACACACAGGGAACACGTTTATGTACGTTGTTGACCCTGCTAGACACTGTTGCTTTGTAACAAAGTACCCCCTCTGTGATGTACCGTGCAAACAACCCAATCCCATCCTAATGCCCAGTCAAAACGGGACTCTTATCCCTGATGAAGTGCTGTGTTGGGCGATGCGGAATCAACCGGTCAGCACTACTGGGACTCGACCCCAAAAGACAGCAACTAAAAACTGTAGGGGCCAAGTGCAACCACCATAACTCTAGACAGCCTATCAACCTCTATGAGAACAGCCGCGGCTCAAATTAAAAGAGTAGACCCTAAACTGAGGGTAAACTGTATAAGATGAGGTCACTTTATAGGAACTGTGCACAAGCTAATGAGGGTGAAATGTTGAGAGTGAAGATAAAGTGGTTCCCAGTCCTTCGTTATATTTTACACAAAACAGTTGGTAAGGCCTACCTTGAAGTGAGATAATATGTCCATAAGCAAGACAATTTACTCGAGCCTTTTGGTTCTGTTGTCTCCAATGTACATTCAGAAATTCTTACGAGGGCCTTACTCTAACAATGATTTTGGGGGGCTACAATTTTTTTTAAACGAGGGGTTTCCCATTCTCACGGGTGCGGGGCATCCATCACGAGCTGAGGGAACGGAACTGCTGAAAAACTCGCAGGATGTTGGGGTCGGTGTCTCCGCTAAACACCAAATTCTCAAGGGTGTTTGTGTAGCTTAGGACCTGGCTGTAATGCTGTGGGGGAAAAAATAACAGAAAGAAAACAAAACATCAAGTGGAATCTGGCGTTCCTTAACCCGCTGCGGACAGCATTGTTTTACGAGTGACCACTGGACGGCAGTATGCCCAATGTGTAGAGTCTGACCAGTGTACACACATGCACAGTAACCGCAGGTGCATGATGAATGGACTGAGTTTGTGTGGTATGCGGCTATAGCCGTTCCCCGGCACTAATCCTCCAATTCAGCCGCGTCAATGAACATCTGCGTCTTCAAAGGGTTAAAAGTGACCATATTTTCCGATCTCAACAAAAAAAGAATGTGGATCTGCCTAACAACTGCATTGCAAGTTGCCACAGATAGTTTGTTACAGGTCAACAAATAAATCTGGCACGACGGAAATCAACTGGAACTCTCAAAGTTTTGGTCAAAATTCAATTCAAGACAATCAGGATTCTGCACTTGAGTAATATACCACAATCAACAGCTCAATATAATCTATTAGCAAACAAACTATATGCAAGTTAAAACAGTTTGCCACCCCCCCCATTCCCCGTGATTTGCTTTCAGTGAATTGATCACCAAGCAAAGGTATCCAAGTCAGTGGATCAGCGTTGCTGAAATCTAGGCCTTATTGGAAGCACTCTTCCTGTTGAGATTTTTGCATGAGGCAAGTGATCCAGACAAGTCAGCAGCTAGAAAGAAGCTTACAGTTAGCATTCAAGTATTATTGGATTTACTCACTTGATCAAATGATCAAATTTTTGTTACGCTTTTGTATTTGATTAATCAACAAGATAATTTGTGAAAATACAGACTTCCTTTCAAAGGGCCTCGGAATTCCAAAATTGGCCCAAATTTCTAAAACCCAAAATTTCAAACATTCTTAACCACTCCCTGCCAGGTGCTTTTAAAACTGTAGTGCCTACATATGGGTGATTTTCAAGATTTTCCATTTTCAAAATTCTTCAAAAATTCCTGATTTCATTTAATGGACGTTTACACCCACAGGAATGACTGTCTGGTGACTACTCTAATCTGACAGGCAACTTCCATTGACGCCAGAGTATTTCAGCCAGGCCTGCCGCCCAGTAAAGAGAGCCCAGAATTGTGAGGTGTTGCGTAATTTCCTTTGTTCTCAGTGAATGCCAGTGGCATCTTTGCAAATGCGGCTGGATGAGTGTGCAGCGGCACTGTATCACTCATCGATGGTGAGCTGGAGCACTTTTGTCCGCGGTGCTAATCCACGGGTGCGCTATACCAAAAACAGTGGTATACTGTTTCAAAACGGTGACGGATTACCTCCGATAAATGCAAGCTGCAAAATGACGGTAATTCCCAGCAGCGGGTCTTTTGTTCCGAGTACAGTATTTTGTTACAGGGCCCAGCTCTTTTGTCCGATTTTGGGTACCCCAGCTATGCGTGCAAACCCAAGGTACCCGAAACTGGGTTCCCCGGCAGCATATGGTTAAGCAAACAAAAAAAAAAACCAAAACATTATTCAAGCGAGACCGTCTGCCACTTGCTTCTGGATTTAACCTCATGAAAAACGAATTTGCGGACAAGAAAAGTGGTCGTCAAAAGAAATGATTCATCATTCAAAAGCATAATCAATATTTGCTGGCCTGGCTGATAGCTAAGGTTTCCAGCCTCTACCCACCATGAGGAATATCTGCTGCAGTCTCTGGATACAGTAGTTGTACCATGGCGTGTGGAAGGTCACTCCTCGGTTCTCACAGTTCACGATGTGCTCGGTGAGGATGATGATGAACCGCTGCAGTGGGTGAGAGGAGAAAAATGTGGTGACTACAACCCATGCTCATTGCTCAATTACGGGCTATAATGTACTCAGAAAGTTTGACTCAAAACTTCTTAATTAAAGGTCCTGAAGACCATGGGTATGGTGATTGTTTGGCGACACAAAGCAGTGCGAATGCGAGGTTCTTGTTTTTCTTAAGTTACCTGAAAGATGATGAGAAACAAGTTCTTTTGTTCGCTCTGGGCCGCTTCCAATGATTCCTGTAACCTCTCCATCTGTGACTCGGTGTCATCCGAGTCTGAGTCACTCTCAGAGTTATCATCACTCTCCATACTCTAGAAAAACAGCCCCCCCCAAAAAAAAATTCAACAAAAGTGATTCACAACAAGGAACAACCCCAACGGTTATTCCCATCCAGTCCATTTCAAGCTTTGTGGTCCACATTGGTGAGTACATCATGCTTCAGCGGCTCTATGCTTTGAAGTTGGTGGATATTAAGTTACAGAGATGGACCTGAGACTAGTTGACAAATGAACACATTTTTGAAGGGTCACGGCACCCTATCAAGGGACAAGAAGGAGCACTGCCATATTTGGTCATGAAAGCATGGATGAGGTGTCTGAGCGGGAACACGGGAGGGCGTGTCTACACAGTGACGATGGTCCTTTGGTGGGAACTCACTCCGTGCACGTACGGATTCAAGATTGGTTTTCACGGGACCTGAAACGTGTGGCAAATTCTCTTTGAATGTTTGGTCTCTGCATGTGTGCAAGGCATGTGCATGAGCGCCGCTGAGTCCTCACCAAGCTGTTGACAGGCAATGGGATTATGCAGTGACGGCCTTTACCCACAATGCAGTATGTACCTCTGTTGATTAATGCAACTATTATGTAACACTCTCTGATAACCCAAGCTTTACACATTCCCCCAAAAAGCAGTGTTTCCGATGGGGAAAGTCAACAGACCTACTATCAGGACTGACCCAGCGTGTCTTCCCCACGGCGTACCAACCTTTTTCGTCTTGAGTGCCCTCTCTCGCGTCTCCTGCAGCTCATGCTGGATCTTAGCCACGTGCTTGCTCATCTTGCGCAGGGTGGAGTGGATGATCTCCCACACGTAGTACTTGGTGAACTCCTCTCTCATGGAGCCGGAGAACAGCCAGTTGATGACAGCTGGGCAGGTCACGATCTGGGTCCGCAGCATCTTGTCGATTAAGACACAGATCATCTGCGATCAAGAGGTAAATCCGCAGAGACAAAAAAATTCAGAACAAGGTGATATTGCACAAAAAATATTTCACCACAAAATATTTCAACTTCGAATGGAAAAAGTTTTACTACCAGTTCTGTGGATTTGTCAAAATTCAAACAATCCATGCAGTGGACCATGTACACAGAAGATTGGCATAGCATGCCGATATTCATGTACCGATAGCTGGGTGGTATGTCTTTACAGCCACGATGATCATTTGGAACCAAGCGTCAGATTCGGAAAGACTTGGGATAGTCGTACTTCTTAAATGCTAATGAATCTGAACACTACGCCAAACAAAAACAAAAGGAACAGACCTGTTGGTGGTTGCACCAGAGCTCGCGAACCATCTTCAGGATATGAATCTGACTCTCCTCAGAGTCGGCAAGGTTTTTGAACACTTCATGAAACCTGCAGCCACGGAGGATCGACAAAAAGTCAGGGACTCAATCAAATTGGCAACTGTAAAAATATCTTTCACAAGTTAGGTTCTGGGTTCCACGGGATTCTATTTTACACCCCCTCAAAACTAACTAAACCCTACCCCTCCACGCTGACTCAACCTTAAACCTACAAGGAACTGGAGGTGTGTACAGGACGGCAGATACCACAGCATTGAAAAATGTAGAGCCAAGCTACCATAATTTCACATGGGTCTTGAAGCGTGTTGAAGAACATGCCATTACTTTCCTATACAGAGGCGGGTTCTGGAAGATTCACAAACGTTCTTTAGACCAGTGCCTGGGAAGTAAGTGGTCACATGTAATGTTTGCTGGCCGGGCAATGTTTCCTCATCTTGACTTACTTTGCCAGCGCACTGAAGGAATGACTGAACGACTTTTGACCCAGGAACAGCAGCGTCTGCACAAAGATGTCAATCTTCAGAGGGTTGAATGTAGACTCGTCTGGAACAAAGTCAATCAAACATATTCATGAATTCAATCTTAATGGGGAGGAGCTAGACAGTCTTATAAGCAAAGAAATGGATACTGACACAAGCAGGCTCACTTCAATAGACTGACTGAAATAATTCATTAATAAAAACAAAAGGACATTTGTGGTACCATAAATAAAATATACAAAACCAACAATTTGCAATTGAAAGTGAGATTGAGTTTTTATTGTGGTACCTAATGATAAACATAAAAGTACTGAAAGAAAACTTCGGTAGAAAGTAACGTCATTAATGCTGACAAAGATTTTCAACTTTGTGATAAATCATATCTAAATGTTTCAAGCCACATTTAAAAATATGAAAGCGAGGCATGGAACCCAAAATAGTCTGGCACCAATTCAATTAACAGAGTACACTGACTTTGATTCTGGGGACACAATAAAAAATGGCTTCCCCATGGATAGGGTCCACTAACAAGTCTCCAGCGTTTTGCTGAATTGATTACACATGGCAGATAACTCGATTGTAGTAAACATGGAGGACAAGTCTTGGAATGGAGACTATCTACAAACTTTGGCTGTAATCATAAGCAACTGGCAAGAAAACAGGTGTGTCTGAAAGGCCCATTTGTATGAGTTGTGCTCGTCCAGCCTACCTTCTATGCTATCTGAGTCCTGGGTTGGGTTGGGCACGTCATCCAGTACACCCATGACCTCAGAGCAGGTTGCTCTAGCTTTGATGGTCTCCATCAGTTTGTGAGCAATCATGGTGCCAGGCAAGGAACCTGAAAATAAAAACAAGAGTGGCACATTGGATCAGTGCATGATCAGCAGAGGGCACCATACAGCCTACTATTGGAAGCCAAGCAAATGCATTCCGAGGATGCATGGACTGCATTGAAGGGAGAGAAATAGGAATTATGGAGATGACCCTCACAAGATAGCAGAATTCAGTTCACTGCCAGAGGAGGGCACCTGTGTTTAAAGAGAAGATACTAAAATGTAAAATTAAGACTGTGGTCAAAATGGGTGGTGTCCAGGAGGTCATGGTCATGGCTTTTCATAATGGTGTACAGTTGGCAAAGATGCAAATGGAAACTATAATTAAAAAGAGATGATTTGGATGTCGCCTGAGTAAGAGCTGCTTAAGCACAAAATTTGCTTAAGCGCGAAAAAACTTGCTTAAAAACCAAAGGTTACCAGCTCAAACTCTACGTAATTGTCATGCTAACCAAAAGACAGCTACATGCCATTAGAAAACAACATACATCACAAGTTTGGGCTGGTAACCTGATTTATCGAGCAAAGTTTTTTCAAGCTTAAAGAAAGCAGCTCAATGAAATTAGCCAAAATCTGACATCAACTCACAAAGATCTTAATGACGGGAGCATACATGTACCTTGTGCGGACACTTGCACACACATGTACATGATTACCTAGATTGATTACCATTTATTGTTGCTAAGCAATAGTTCTTTTTTATCTGTGAGGTATGAGTGTGCAGAGGTCTTGGTGCAACGATCTGTGACCTACCAGCTCCTTCCTCGTTGTACTTGTAGACTGGCACAGGCTTTGGAGGGAGGAGTGGGGTGAACGGCTCGGGGTTGGTGAGACTCTCAATGATGCGCTGGTGGTAGGAAAGCCTACGGACGGAAAAAGTCCCAAAAACCACTTCCTTGAATTGAACTGGTTTATTTTTGTACGCGGAATGAGTCTGCTATGATTGAAAGACAGATGCCAAGACCTTCCAGTCGGTATTCTTACATACCTCATGCTTTTCACCAAGACTTCCTGGACAAACTTTGGCTTGGGCATTTCAAGATCCATACTAACACAGTCAGCCCTATACAGGAATGAAAAAAAAATCAATTATTATTTTCAAAATACCAATGATACTTGTTAAGCTTCTATTTTGTCCAGAACAGCTGCTTGTCAACCTTAGCAACAAGAAATCAGACAATAAGGATTAGAGAACTAATCAGCAAGTTGGCCAGTCACAGGCAACCAGGTGTGTTTCCTACCTGCAGATTTTTTTGCAAGGAGGGGAAAGAACTCACCAATCGTCCCAGCTCCAACGGAACTGGAAGTTGCTGAGATGGTGAGAGAACCAGTTGACAAAGCGATCGATGCAGTTGAGGTTCATGCTGTCCAGTCTCTCGTACAGCAACTCTGAGGCTTGGGCAAGCTAATGTTTGACAAAGTTAAGGTTCCTTGAGACTTCCTCCTTCAATCCTGACAGTGACAGGGTGTGACAGTCTCAGAAATGTCAGTCCTATAGCCTGTATCTCTCTCTCTGAGAGACGGACACAATTTACGAAGGCAACATCAAAACAGCCTTCAAGAAATTCTCCACCTTATAAGCTTGCAAGAAGCTACAAGATCTAGTGAAGCTTTAAAAACCTGACAATTCTCAGCTGGTCAAAGGATACGACTTGAGGCAAAGAACTCGGCTGGAGTTTACAGAGCTCGAGCAACAGAGCGGTGTAGGTCACCTCAAGATTAGTGGGCTGGGGCAAGTTGAAGAGCTGACCAAAGACCACCTCCACGATCATGTAGTTCAGCGGCACTTTGGTCTTCCCATGGTAACTTACCAACTGGGCAGCACTACAGAAAAATATGTTTCAAGAAAACACCAACAATGGTTTATTATGCAGTCTATGCATGACTGGCTGTGGAAGTACAGTGAAATTTAAAATTTCAAAGGGCTCATGGAATAGCTGAAAGGCAGCAGTAAATTGACATAACACGAGGGAGGGATAAACTAGAGAAAATATGGCAATGGTTTATGGCAGTACTGGCTTGAAGTAATTCAGGAAGTTTTGTAATGCAAGGGGAGTTAAACTGACAGCTAATGGGATCTATATTTAATTTGGTAAGTGTATATAATAAACCCTTCACAATTTGTTAAAACATTCCGCCAGCACTGAACTAACATATAGCAGGTGTAGTGAGCAAACATCTTGGCCAAGGCAGAGTATTGAAATCAAACAAAATGCACCAGGAAAAGTAACAAACTTTCTGAGTATTGTACACAGTTGACAACACTGGAATAGTGCTTCAACTACCACGACCTTGAGTCTCTCAAAATGAGACAGGGACGTCCAGGCTTAACTTACCATTCTTTGCGGTCCTTGATGTAGGCGTTAATGATAAAATTCAGCTGCTCCTCGACCAAGTAGCGCTCGATGGAGTGGTGCCCCGGCATGGTCGGACCCTGCGAGAGGCACGACCAAAAAAATGAGAGGTGATTGGACTCAAAATAATACTCATCTGTGACTCACTTGAAGTTTTTGAAACTGAGATTTGAGTCAGTGAGTCTCAGTGGATCAAACTTCAGAGGGAATTTTTGCTCACTTATGCCACACATCATTTTCAACCATATTACAACCAAAATGTGGATCCAAATACTACATCATTCACACTTTGGAATTTCAAGGGGTGCATCTGCTTACTTTTTGAGTTTTTAAGCCAGATTGAGATTTTTCACTCTGACTAACGTCAGTTTTCATCTAAGGGGGAAACCCCTCGACCCCAGTTGACCAGGGCCAACTACAAGTTTATAATGTTCTCTGCTCAAACCTCAAAAACACTTCCAAACCCAATTTTTTGGTAAATTTACACCACAAACACTTGCCAAGCGGTTGCAAGTTTGCATTCCTGCCAAACGTTAGCCGACCTTACACCAGTCAAAGAAATATCCTCTTGGATAAAACTCCATGGATTCAATAAAGCAACAGCCATAAAATTATTCCAAATGAAATCCTCTAATATGAGGCCCAAGAGACACTTGGTGGCAGCAAACATGACAGTCCTTTTCCATTGTTTACATAATTTCAAACAAGCACATATTACCTAAAATGTGCCAAAACAAAAAACAAGACAGGACTGTGGCCTTTTCTGCTACCAAGTTCCTCAAGTGTCGCCCTGCCAGAGATCTACAGAGATAAGCCAATTCATTCAACAGGACACGGTGAGCAGTGAGCAAACACCAACCAACCTCTGGGGCGTCAGTGTAGTCAAACATCCTGAAGACCACCTTGGGGAGCGGGTAGATGTTGTTGGGGCTGTGAGGAGGGACTGTGAAAGGGGGAAGGGTGTGCTGGAGGGCCTCGCACAGCACGCTGTCGAAGGCCAGGTAAGGTCGCAGGAGGCTCTTGTGGGTCCAGTCGTCGTGGCGAAGCTTCACCGTCTGGGCCCACAGGCAGTCCAGGCTCTGAAGGGATTGAAGCGTGGATGGGAAAAACCGATTGCAAAAAGAGCTGATTTGGTCTTTGTTCAGTGACTTTTGTACGTAGACATTCACTGGACAGCTAGTCATCGGTTTGGTGCGGTTTCCTTATTGGCTTCCTGGGTTCGAATCTCACCCAAAACATCAGGTGGAATGGTTTTTTTTGGTCCTATCTCATGTCTTGGTTTCCTTCAGGACAGCAACTGTAACTGTAACATTAGTCTAAACAAAGCCTCCGAGTATCTCACTCATGAGTTAGGGCTTGCTCATTGATAGGACTATAATTCACCCCATCACATGGCTTGCCTGCACCAATCAACTGAAGAATTTGACATGCTACCATGAACTGTGTCCCTCAAGAACGAAGCCATTGGGTAATGTTAACCGGTGAATGGTACCACGGTCAACTTACATCTTCCTGTGGGTGGGGGCTGTCACTGTGCCAAACCCTCAGCATAGCAACATGATCCTTTTTTCGCTTCCTAAATATGAGAATAAAAATGAGAAATTTGTGAGTATTTTTAACATTAGAGGTAAGGTTTGTATGGTGAGACTGTAATATCACCCTCTCGTTGTTACATGTTACTCCAGTTACCCACTGTGGTCCATGACAGGCATGGCTTCCATCAAGTACTAGGTAAGAAGTATTTAAAACCAGAAAAATCCAGTTAAACACTGCTTGGGAGGTTTTAGTCCACTGTGAATTTTCAAATCTGCAATATCAGATTTTGAGAACACTAACAAGCAGCCAACGGTGATCACTAAAGATCTTACACCATATCAAACTTTGAAAATCATTACTGAAGTTAAAAATCCTGAATATGTACCAAAGTTGGATAATCGGTGGCAGTTTGCTCAACTGCATCACAATGACTAGTTTTCTAGTGGGACAAAATGAGACTTTGAACGGAACATCTCATGCAAGGATTAAGCTCTGCATACTCACCTGAGGTAACTCTCAATCTTGCTCAAAATTTTCTCCAGTTCCTCGTCTTTTTTCTCTGACACCTCTCCTCCAACCTGGAAGGAAAAAAAATTGAGTAATTCACGTTACTCATTTTCAAGAAGTTGTGAAAAGCTCCCTTTATTGAATCAGCTTCCCAATACCAAACTTACAAGTTCACACATTACAACGCATTGAAAAATTTGACGCTATCAGGTACTGTATGTCCAAACAATGTTTCGTTTTTTTGGTGGTTTCTTTGGGGTTTTAACCAAGACGGCTTTACTGAACTGACCCAAACCAAAAATCCCAAATGCAAAACAGAAACCGACTCCAGGGTGGAAGAATCAACCTGACCAGACCAGAAGTCAGTTTAGGTCAGGTTTCCGGTTGGGTTTTTATGATAGTACTATGAAATGAGCCCTTCAGGTCTCCTGTCTATGGACCTGACTTCTACTCACCCAGGGAAGGCTAGAAAGGATTGCGTGGACGAACCAGTCTGATCGGACCTGAGGGATTCCCTCCTCCAGGGTGACGTCAGCAAATGCTTCGTACAGAGCCACAATGGAGGAGACGTCCACCACGTGACAATTGACCAAGTCGGCAATGAATCGGGTCAGGGTGCGGGCCTTGTCCCACTCGTTGGCTTTCATCAAGTCCCT